GGGGCTCGCAGCCCCAGTGTCTCGCTCCGCCGTGCTCAAGTGCCTCTCCTCTCTCGGTGTCTCTCTCTCTCGGCGTCTGTCTCTCTCTCTCCTCTCTCGGCGTCTCTCTCTCCTCTCTCGGTGTCCAAGCGGCCCGGCCTCAACTCGCACAAACACAAACAACGCGGCCTAAGACCGGCAACCCACGTGCCCCTAATGCAGCCACGCCCCTTTAGCCCGAAGCCACGCCCCCTTACTCAGCTGCCACGCCCCTTGTTCAGCTGCCACGCCCCCTTGCTCCGCAGCCACGCCCCCTTACTCACTCCGCAGCCACGCCCCCTTACTCAGTAACCACGCCCCCTTACTCGGTAGTCACGCCCCCTTGCTCAGCTGCCACGCCCCCTTATTCAGCTGCCACGCCCTCTTATTCAGCTGCCACGCCCCCTTATTCAGCTTCCACGCCCCCCTATCCAGTAGCCACGCCCCTTATTCAGCTGCCACGCCCTCTAACCCAGTAGCCACGCCCCTATCCAGTAGCCACGCCCCCCTATCCAGTAGCCACGCCCTCTAACCCAGTAGCCACGCCCCCTATCCAGTAGCCACGCCCTCTAACCCAGTGGCCACACCCTCTATCCGATTGCCTAAGGGCAGGGGTGTCCAAACTTTTTTGCAAAGAGGGTCACATTTGATAAAGTGAAGATGCCCGGGGGCCAATAGTTGCTTCTGACATTTTTTTAACCCAAAAGTTACGTGGAAATACACACTGTTATAAAAAACTTTCATTGTCACAATTTACCCTTATTTTTCAAATGACAATGTAACCAAATATAAACCTTCTTGGTTCTTTCGGTAAAGTCACTGTACCCGGCCAGGTACAGGTAGGGTACGGGTACGGCCGGGTACGGGTACCCGTTTGCGACCCTGGTGCGGCCGGGTACGGGTAAGGAATCAAAACCTCTGGTAGCAGCCACGTGGCGTGTCAGCACCAACAATTGCCCAACATCTGCAGTACTCAGGTAAGCACCACTGAAGTTTATAGCCCTTAAATTTCGATTTAAAGCTTTCGTGACTGCAGGGATTCATCTTCTTGGTTCTTTGGGTAAAGTCACGTAGAAGGGAAATAATAAAATAAAAAATAAAACATAATAAAATAATTCTCACGACGTTTCGGCCACAACGCAAGCAGCCGTCCTCAGGTGAAGAACAGGTCTGTCGGAAAGACAGCGTCTGAATGAACACCACCAGGCTTGGCAGCGTATATTTAAGCTGGGTTGGAGGGGGAAGAGGCCATGACAAAGGAATTTGCATTTATAGCACTTGTTCAGAAGCGACCTGGTCACACAAATGATAGCTCAATTAAGTGGCTTATCAGGTGGAAATGTATAACAGCTAAATATTTTGAGCGCATTTTGATTCTAAATGTGGAGGGGAAAACCGGAAGTCCCCAGAGAAAAATCCAAGCGACCACGGGGAGAACATGCATACTCCAAATATTCAGGCGTCAGGGTCGGGATTGAACCCACGATCTCCTGCATACCAGGCAAGGGAGTTCACATCTCGCCACCGCGGCGCCCGGATGTACTGTAAAGGGCAAAAAATTAAACAAAAATGGTCTTCACAACTGACAAATATTGAAAAACCTTTTATGTATAGAAAAAAAAGCGATAAAAATCAAACAACACAACAAAAACGTGTTTCGCAAAGCGGTGAGCGGACAGCACAAAGCCAGGCAAACTCTAAACCATCGGGTCAGCCGTCGGTCCGAAGATGACGCTGGATGGCTCATTCGAGTCGGGGGCAACACGTGGACACTTTGACTCCGTAAGGAGCCGACGACCAAATCACCAACCATGTGCCCAATCTAATCAGATCTCAGAAGCTAAGCAGGTTGCAGCCTGGCTATTGCCTGGATGGGCAACCATCATACAGAAAATCAGTGGTGGTAGGGGGCTGCCGGGGCTATGTTGAAAGCAGAGGGCAGTGCAGCAAAGTCCATTAGTCTGCCAGTAGGGGGGCGATGGTTGCTGCTGTGTCATCTCAATTAACTGGCATTCATCTTCTTGGTTCTTTTGGTAAAGTCACGTAGAGGAAAAATAATAAAAAGAAAACATAATAAAATATTACTATAATAAAAAAAAACATTCTAAAATAAAATATGATTTTATTATGTTTTATTTGTATTATTTTATTATTTTTCCTCTACGTACTTTACCGAAAGAACCAAGAAGATGAATGAATCCCTGCAGTCACGAAAGCTTTAAATCGAAATTTAACTGGCATTCACCACATCAGAATGCTGAAAAATGAACTGAAATTTACTAAACATTTCAGAATTTGGATCACGAAGCCAGCACACGATAGCCTTCTCTTGCGAATGAGGTCACAAGATCTTTACGTCCACTAAGTGATGCAGACGGCGCTTAGTATACGGACACTTATAGTATTAACCATGCCGGTTTGCCAGATTTCAGCTGGGATCCTCTACAACAAGCGGTTGTCTCTGCGAAAGCTGAGCCATGTCACCTAACCCGATGCAGATCTCCCATCCCTACGTGGTCAACCAACCTTTACCTCTAAGTCACGGAGTTGAAGGTGTGATCGTCAGTGTGGCAAACCCAAGAAAATATATTTGTACGTGGGTTACACAATTTTTGTTGTGGCAGCAAGTGTCTGCTTTGTGAAAATGTTCTGCAAAAGAACTTGGAGACAAATATAGAGAATTAGAATGTGACAAGGTTTACGTGACACCAATTTGCGACATCCAGGTGGGCAAAGCTTTTGGTCCTGGGTCTGTTAGTTACAAGAAATTTAAAATATTTCACCTTTGTATTGCAATCGTTTTTTAATACGCAGCGGCCAGTCACAACAATAATAATGCAAATTGCCAATGCATAATTGTTTAGTATTACATATAGCGTCATCGTCCATACAAATAGCATCTCCCAATCTCCTTGCGAACCACAAAAGCTGGAAGGCAGAAATCACGCACGGAGCCGGCACTACCAACAATTTCCCAAGCTCTGCGGTCCTCTATATATTTAGATGTTTTCTGACAATTGATGGGCGTTTTTACATGTGGGAGGAAACCGGAGCACCTAGGAGAAAACTCACCCGTGCAAGGGAGCAACACTTTATCCAGTACAGATATTTGTCCGTACTTTGCATTACTCCCTTTTTCTGGCGAGCCAGGGTATGTATGGCTCCTCCTTGATTCCCACGGAAAGACGTTTTGCAAAATGTGTGCGGTGATCCACGAACCCTTACTGCCTTCACAGTGATGGATTGCAGGCCACGTGCATAGTCACCACCGCCCAGATGTTGTAACATGGCCACACAAGTAAATATAACGCTTTACCTGTTTGCAAAAAGGTATCATTTAAACATTTCTTAAGCTTCAACCGGTGGTTGTGAAACTGAAGGGGCATCCGCACTAGAGGTGGGAGACCACTTTGCACACGTGGCACATTCACAGCTCTCCAAGGGTCACCACCGCTCAGACAACATTCCTGCCCCTCCTAGCGCTGCACGATCACTACCGCAACCGCTTCCCCGGACACAAGGCAAAGGGTCCATTCGTAGGACTGGCCAAACAAGAGGGAGCAGATAGATATCACTCACAAACCCTGAAGGTGATCATTCAAACGGCCTCCCTTGTCCATGTCCTATCTCCACACTCCTGCACTGCACTCGCTACATTATCAGCAGAGGGTATGCAGAAACGTGCATAGTTTTAATTGCAGCCGGTGTGAGCTCACCTTTGATCAATTACACTTATAATGGTGTACTCTGCTAATTACTAAAGGTGCGTTTTTGTATTATGAGAAGGCAATGATGACTAGGGAAAGGACGGCGAGCCCCACATGCACTGTAGGGCATGGGGCACGACCTCAATATAAATTTAGGCGGACTCCATTCTGAACACTTTGAAATAACGTTTAGCCGTTCGACAAACCTTTGGTGCCCCGCTGCTATGGAGTCGCCCACATCTCCGGAGGACAGAACACAACACGCAGTATCTACTCATCGTCTCCCAACTTTTTTTGTCTATTGAGCTAACCTGTCCCCCTCGTTATAATCTGCAGGACAGGGACAGGGCGGATCAGCTACATAATGTACGAGTCGGACAACTCTGCTCCCCACCTTCCCAACCCGCACGGTTAAGCATGGTCAAATAACCCTCACGAACCGCATGGCACGGAGAGGCCATCGTGCAGCGGCGGACTGACAAATAAGCCGCGCATGCAGTTGTTCACTACATCCTATTAACTACACACATATTGCTCTCCAAGCGGTGCTTGACCAAAATTATGAGAAAACTCCACTTTACCAGATGGTAATTTGTGCAGCGAAGTGACCGGACACAAATCGTTGCACAGATCACCGGGGTAGCCGTGTTTTGGCATCAGTGACGTAGCGTGGTTGGCAGTGTCCACTATCCCTCCCCCACCCCCCTCTCTTAAGCTGAATGCCTGGAACCCTCCGGCTCATAGGTCTGGTGCAGCTGCACCACATGCACACTCGATAAAGACATCACACAGGGATCTACGCTTAAAGTTTGGATCGTGCAAGCTGGCTCTGTTCTATCAACACCAGAGGTCAGAAACCTGCGGCTCTTTCAGGACTGCTTCATGATGTTATGTATTCAGGATCAGTTTCATATTCACACGTATTGCAGCTTTTCAAATATTGCATTTTTTTTACCGAATTCGAAAAAGGCTCTTCTTGTTATTTTGGTTTCTGACCCCTGATCTCCACCAATGTCAAATTCACTTCCTGGCTCTGCTTCTCTGCCTCCGTGCTGAGCGAGGAGAATTTTGCCTAAAGACCCGGACGATGGAGCTTGGAATACAAAAACCTGCAATCCAGATTATTGGGTTTAGAGACTGGATTCAGGACGCTGGAGTCCAGAATCTGGATTGTGGATTATGGTGTAGGTCTCCCAGACGTTGACCTTGACCTACTTGACACTGACCCAGCCCATGACGTTTAAGCCTTGACCTAGAATAAAAAACATTGGCCACTCATGCACCCTGGAGTCCAGAGTACGCAGTTCGAATCAGGCGGTCCAGCTTACGTGTGTACATGTCAAACCTTTTTCGCACCATATAGTCAACCGTGCAAATCGGAGGTGTGGGGGAAGGACAACCAAACTGAACGCAAAAAGCAGTTGCAAATAAATGAGTTTTCAATCTATATGATTTAAAAGCGCATCGCTCTAGTGGCTTCTTAATATCGGAAGAGCTTTCCAGATTGCCGCAGAAGCGCATCTGCAAAAGCGCAATACGTGGAGTCTTTGTTCGCCGATGAGCTAAAAGCCGTCACTGCGAGCGATGACAGGTCACGCGATGGTTTGTGCTCCTTGACGAGATAGTACCCATGGAAGTGTTTGTACGATGCAGTTCATTTTGTGCAACATTAAACTTGATTTGCGCACAACGATCTGTTTTTTGTGGAGACGCTGTTGTTGTTCACGAATGCGAGTTTATGAATTGTGCTTGTGCACTACTGAATACTTAGCTTTGATAAGGGACCATTTGCCCAAAACATGGCCTATCGTATACTTTTCCTATTAAGGCCTCAGTGTTATTCGTGAACTTCTTTAAAATATTTCCTGTTGAGGCGTTATTGACAGATATGACTTTTTCTGTTCAATGTTTTTGCCCATTAAACTGTTCAATCAATTTTTTTTTAGTTACTTTCTGGTGTCCTTACTCAGCGGGAGGGGGTGGGTGGGCGGGGGGCAGCACGGCCAGCCAACGTGAGCAACCACGGTGGCATTAAGCCCACACCCAGCAAGCCAAAGCACCAACTCAAGGTAGCAACAGCATCAACCGCAAACGCTTCCGAGCTGGTGTGAGAGTCGTCCGGGGTAACGTTATCTTCAGAGTGATCTCGAATTTGTAAGGAACCCAAGATGGGGCGGCGGTCAATTTGGCGAGAGTGGAGTGGGCGGGCACTGAGTGTGTACGACACTGCTGCCGATCTCGTGGCTCAGGGATCACAGCTAAGCGATTTTCGCCAAGATAATTTGTCTCTTGAGCGAGGGCACGGAGTGACCGATTCACAATCCCCCGGCGCTGGACAATAGGATATTTTGATACCGTGGCGGACATACATTATGAAAATAGCTGAGCTCGGATATTTTTGCAGGGTAAAGGGAGCTCTGTAGAGAGAGGAGCACGCACAATTATAGCAACATAAGCCTTGAGAAAAGAAAAAAAAAACCCAACATTAATGACTGCGTCAATGTAGAGGTCCATTGATGACTGTGTGTGTGTGATCAATTACACCTCGGCTGTAGTTTGGATTGTTAATCTGGACACCTTTGAAATAATGGACATCTGTAAAAAAAAGATTCATAGCTTATTGGATTCCTACAGTCTAAATAAAATTCTGATTCTGGTCGCTGACCATCCCAATGGAATAGAAAACGTATGAAAAGTAGGTGTCTGTAGCCAATAAGAAAATCCCATAGTTTTTGGGTGTTAGGCCACGTTATAGTTTTATGTCAAATGTCTTGTCATTAACCCTCTACCACCCGACAAGAATGTCACGTTTACTCAGTGTACTCAATAACCAACTGAGAAGCAAACTGAGAACCACAGCAGCGTGAGACTAATGCTGGCAACTGAGACGTGAGCTCCGGGTTAGGCTATGTAATTTTCAGAACCAAATTCCAGAACCAATTGCTGCTAAATTCAGCCATTCGAAAAATGTTTCGTCAAATCTCCAGTGACGGACCCGACACAAGAAAAATCGGCGCATTGTTAAACACTCGTACACGTGACCATTGACCTTGTTTTGGCTTTTATCTGCTGGTGGAAGGTCTCGCGAAATAAACTTGGCCGAATCACCGAAAAAATTAATTACGCTCCGTAATAATGGCGGCGAAAACCCACGCGCTAAACCCACGACGGCATTTACTCCTTAACTCAGTGACGCTAGAAGCCCGGGGCTGGTTACAGAACGCCAGCGCTGGCGCGGGGGACCTACACCCTCTTGACCTTTGACACTTTGGTCGGCTTCTTCCCCTTTGCGATAGCCTTGGACACCGACTTTCCCACCGAGGTCTTCACGGACTTCTTGGAATGCTTGGCCTTCTTGTTCTTCTCCTTGAGGCTCTTCTGCTTCTGCTCCTTCTTTTTCTTCTCCTCGGCAATGCCCCTCAGCGCCTTGGGCTCGGCCTTCACCACGCTCTTCTTGCCCACCGGCTTGGAGGAGGTGGGGGCGGGAGGCTTGGATTTGCCCTTCTCCTCCGCCGCCTTCTTCTCCAGCTTGTTCTTGTTCAGCTGCCGGAAAATGACGTGAGAACACTGAGAGACTCGCACACACACGAGGTGGAGACACGAACTCAAGAGAATCAGCCGACAGCCTAGTGAGACAATTCTATCGCACTGGAGACACACACAGGGTGGACATGCAGTATAGTATGGGACAAACATCGGTCCTCAGTGTCAATTTAGACAGAATTCCGTTCCTTCGAGGACCACCTGTGGATTTGTAGTCAAGTCTCAGTCTGCTGATTTAATTTAAGTCAGCATATTTCATTTTAATCACAAAATGAAATGCACAGAGACTCGATTAAAAGTTTTACCAATTATAATTCGTTTATTTTGGGTTTGAATCGAAGTGCAAGTATGTCATTTTTTTTACTATAACCCTCTGCTTTGCGACGGAGACAATCAAATGGAGTTGTCATGTGGGCAAATGTGCCAATTGATTCAGTTTTTCAGCACCACCAGAATGCTGAAAAGCCCAACAAAATTTTTGACTATTTCCAACATAACCCAGAGGCGCCGGCTGCCACCCGACCGCCTGCCCGCTCGCCGGCCCGCGGGCCCCACGTACCTTGAAGGAGCCGTTGGCGCCCGTGCCCTTCACCTGCAGCAGCGTGTCGTTCTGCACCAGTGCCTTCACCGAGTACTTGAGGTAGGTGCGCCCGTGCTCCTGGTCGAACCATTCCACCTTGCGCGCCTCGGCGTACACGCGGGCGAGCGATGAACCGCCGCGCTCGCCCAGCGCGCGGATCACGTCGATCACCAGCCGGCTGTATTTTCCCGGCTGGTTCTTCTTCTTCTTTTTCTTCTTGCCGCCGGCGCCAATGCCACCGCCGCTGCCACCGACGTGCAGGTAGGGTGGCTTGGTGGGAGACGGCTTGACGCCCACCTTGATAGCCACCTTGGCCTTCCTGGCCTTGCCCTTCCTGGCGACGACGTCCGGGTCCTGGTCGTCGGAGTGCTCCTCGGCGTGGAGCTCGGGCGCCACCGGTGCCACCTCCAGGGAGTCCATCGCTTCTACCGAGGACATCACCGGCACCACCACGACTGCTGCAATAACGGGGGGTGATTGCGGCCACACGGACAAGAAGCATCAGCAGCAGCAGCAACAACGACGTCCCCCATGTAGCCTTCACCAGACTAGGAAAGTGCTCTTTGGTTCTTTCGGTAAAGTCACTTAGGTATAAAATATAATAAATTAAATCACGACGTTTCGATTGCAACACAAGCAATCATCATCAGACGATAATCATCATCAGAAGATGATCATCATCGGACGATGATCATCATCAGACGATGATTGCTTGTGTTGCAATCGAAACGTCGTAATTTAATTTATTTTATACCCACGTGACTTTATCGAAAGAACCAAAGAGTATGGATCCCTGCAGTCACGAAAACTTCAAATCTAGACTAGGAAAGTGCTGTTAGAAATGCACCTTTAGACGCTAACGTGGCGCACAACAACGGGGCAGGCGGTCCACACCTCAACGCGGGCTGCATTTGTCTCCCTACTGCTGACGTTTACACACCGCACCAAGTACCCACTTGAGGCTGAGTTGACTTAGGGGAGGCCCAGGACTGGTTCAAATATTCACCATCGATTACACTGGTCACACACTTTTTCTGGCATAAGGTATTCCAACGGTTTTAAGGTAATTTTGGGGTGCCGATTCCAAATCTGGCATCAGTTTTTGTCTATCACAGGTTTTTGAGATATCAAATATTGCATTTTCAATAAAACTGCAGAAGAAAAAATTAAATAAATGTGGATATCTACATAAATGATATTATAAACACACTATCCTAAAAATACAGCACCATATTTTAACACTAAAGCAGTCACGACTCGCAACAACCTGCAATCATAAGTGACAGAGTTAATTTCGGGTAAAATCAATGAAAATGGGGTATGCCGATAGCATAAAAATTAGATGTGATAGAGCAAATCTGAGATCAGATTTGGAATCAGCACCCTGAAATTAGTCTAGAACAGCTCCCCATACACTCGCACACACCCGGGCCACCTTTAGCTCTCCAGTACACACTACACTCGTTTAAGGCTGAGTCGACCTAGGGGAGGCCCGTGACTTATCAGATAAATACAACTAATGGTCGAATCCATGTCATGCGATTCCACCCCCGATTTCCTACAAACTCGGAATGTTACGGGGACGCACGAAACGAAACGCATCTCCTGTCAGCAGCAGCAACAGCAGATTGACGTGAACACGAGAGAGTAACGTGACGCAGAGTAACGTAACGTAACGCGAGAGTAACGTTGCGTTGTAACGCAAATGTAACGTAACGCAGGAGGTGTAGAGGGGGCAGGGTAACGTGGCAGAGAATACATTAGCGCGGCGTTAACTGCGTCACGACGCGAATCGTTGAGTCTCACGCAACAACAACAACAAAAAATCCACCACGGAAACTCCCGCCTCGCCTCGAGCGCGCTTTCCACGTTCCTATGGCCGAGACCTCGCCTCTCAACAATTGCATCGCTACGCAAGAGCCCCCCCCCATCACCCCCTCACCTTGGAAGTGTTGAGGGGGGCTCGAGGAGACGACGAAAAGACGGAGACGCGGGGAAGGATGGGCGCGCTGCGGTGAGGTAAACAACCAGCCCCAACAACAGTGGATGAAACGCGCGCTCCCATTGGCTGAGAGCTTGAGACCAGTGGATGAAACGCGCGCTCCCATTGGCTGAGAGCTTGAGACCAGGGGATGAAACGCGCGCTCCCATTGGCTGAGAGCTTGAGACCAGGGGATGAAACGCGCGCTCCCATTGGCTGAGAGCTTGAGACCAGGGGATGAAACGCGCGCTCCCATTGGCTGAGAGCTTGAGACCAGGGGATGAAACGCGCGCTCCCATTGGCTGAGAGCTTGAGACCAGTGGATGAAACGCGCGCTCCCATTGGGCTGAGAGCTTGAGACCAGGGGATGAAACGCGCGCTCCTATTGGCTGAGAGCTTGAGACCAGGGGATGAAACGCGCGCTCCCATTGGCTGAGAGCTTGAGATCAGGGATGAAACGCGCGCTCCCATTGGCTGAGAGCTTGAGACCAGGGGATGAGACGCGCGCTCCCATTGGCTGAGAGCTTGAGACCAGGGGATGAGACGCGCGCTCCCATTGGCTGAGAGCTTAAGACCAGGGGATGAAACGCGCGCTCCATTGGCTGAGAGCTTGAGACCAGGGGATGAGACGCGCGCTCCATTGGCTGAGAGCTTGAGACCAGGGGATGAGACGCGAGCTCCCATTGGCTGAGAGCTTGAGACCAGGGGATGAGACGCGAGCTCCCATTGGCTGAGAGCTTGAGACCAGGGGATGAGACGCGAGCTCCCATTGGCTGAGAGCTTGAGACCAGGGGATGAGACGCGAGCTCCCATTGGCTGAGAGCTTGAGACCAGGGATGAGACGCGAGCTCCCATTGGCTGAGAGCTTGAGACCAAGGGATGAGACGCGCGCTCCCATTGGATGAGACGCGCGCTCCCATTGGCTGAGAGCTTGAGACCAGAGGATGAGACGCGAGCTCTCATTGGCCAGGAGCTTGACACCAGGGGATGAGACGTGAGCTCCCATTGGCTGAGAGCTCGAGACGAGGGAGGGGCTGTTGCAGTGGGATGAGACGCGCTCTCCCATTGGCTGAGAGCTTGAGACCAGGGGATGAGACGCGAGCTCCCATTGGCTGAGAGCTCGAGACGAAGGGGGAGCGATTAGAGTGGGATGAGACGCGCGCTCCCATTGGCTGAGAGCTTGAGACCAGGGGATGAGACGCCCGCTCCCATTGGCTGAGAGCTTGAGACCAGGGATGAGACGCGAGCTCCCATTGGCTGAGAGCTTGAGACCAGGGGATGAGACGCGAGCTCCCATTAGCTGAGAGCCTTAGACCGGGAGAGAGACGCGAGTTCCCATTGGCTGCAACTGGTCGTAGCTGGGGGGGGAGGGGGGGAGATGTGGCCTCCCATTGGCTGCAGTGAAGGTGAAAGCTAGGCTCTCATTGGCTGAAATAAGAGCATCAGCTGAAGCTGAACTAGCCCGTTACAATGCCACGTGGTCTCGGGCTGCACCTAGCCTGGCACCAGCGCTATGGTGACGTCACCACCGCTTCGTGGCAAATTAAAAAAATACCAAAACAAATTTGCACTTTTTGGTTCTTTCGGTAAAGTCACGTAGAAAGGAAGTAATAAAATAATACAAATAAAACTGAGGAAGGCTGCTTGCGTTGTGGCCGAAACGTCGTGAGAATTATTTTATTATGTTTTATTTTTATTATTTTATTATTTTCCTTCTACGTGATGACTTTACCGAAAGAACCAAGAAGATGACATTTGGAATTGTTTACTTTCATGAATGAATCAATCATTACGATTCTCCGCGCACGAGGAAATCGTTAGAATCGATCATTTGGCTTCACTAACGTTAAGAATCGCCATCCGAGAATGGTAAAAGTCGAATCGATCTCCCCAAAAGGCAACCTAAGCTCAATTCTCGGCCACGACACGACCCACTTGATAAAACCGCCCTTACCAGCGTGGTGAAGTATGGTCAAACAACCCCCGCAAGACAGCTGGGGGGGGCTCTTAATCCGTCAAAGTAATCGATTTCTAAATCGATCCAGAGTATTGGAATCGCGAGGAATCGGAATTCAATGCGCGCCTGCCTGCAAGCCAAACCGAGAATCGATTCGTTCGCGATTTTAATCGTCACCGGGAATCGATCCACACCACCTCGGCGGCCTGTGCAACAACTCCCGTTAAGAGAAGCGGTGAGCAAATCACGCCATCGTGCAAACAACCACCGGCAATCATCATCGCCATCAGTCAGCATGCGGTATCATCGTCGTCGTCGTGGTCACGGTGTTGGAGGTTGAGGAGGTTTGTGTAGAAACAGCTTCTGCCTCGACTTGCAGTAATCCCCCCCTCACCCGAGCTGCGCTTTCCCGCGCATTTTTTCACGTTCATTCATTTCGTTCAACTCGGCTTCCATCCACCAACAGCTGTGTGCCGACAAGCCCCGACTCTTGCGCAGGTAACTCACCAACTCACTACCTCACTCACTCACCAACCCACTCCACCAGCTCACTCACCAGCTCACTCACTACCTCACTCACTCACCAACCCACTCACCAGCTCACTCACTACCTCACCAACTCACTCACCAACCCACTCATTACCTCACTCACTCACCAACCCACTCACTAACGCACTCACCACCTCACTCACCAACCCACTCACCAGCTCACTCACCAACTCACTCACTACCTCACCAACTCACTCACTACCTCACCAACTCACTCACTACCTCACTCACTCACCAACCCACTCACCAGCTCACTCATTACCTCACTCACTCACCAACCCACTCACTAACGCACTCACCACCTCACTCACCAACCCACTCACCAGCTCACTCACCAAACTCACTACCTCACCAACTCACTCACTACCTCACTCACCAACTCACTCACTACCTCACTCACCAACTCACTCACTAACGCACTCACCAGCTCACTCACCAGCTCACTCACCAGCTCACTCACCAGCTCACTCACCAGCTCACTCACTACCTCACCCACTCACCAGCTCACTCACTACTCCACTCACCAGCTCACTCACTCACCAACTCACTCACTACTCCACTCACTCACCAACTCACTCACTACTCCACTCACTCACCAGCTCACTCACTACCTCACTCACTCACCAACCCACTCACCAGCTCACTCACTACCTCACCAACTCACTCACCAACCCACTCACTACCTCACTCACTCACCAACCCACTCACCAGCTCACTCATTACCTCACTCACTCACCAACCCACTCACTAACGCACTCACCACCTCACTCACCAACCCACTCACCAGCTCACTCACCAACTCACTCACTACCTCACCAACTCACTCACTACCTCACTCACCAGCTCACTCACTACCTCACCAACTCACTACCTCACTCACCAACTCACTCACTAACGCACTCACCAGCTCACTCACCAGCTCACTCACCAGCTCACTCACCAACCCACTCACCAGCTCACTCACTACCTCACCAACTCACTCACTACCTCACTCACCAGCTCACTCACTACCTCACCAACTCACTACCTCACTCACCAACTCACTCACTAACGCACTCACCAGCTCACTCACCAGCTCACTCACCAGCTCACTCACCAGCTCACTCACTACCTCACTCACTCACCACCCACTCACCAGCTCACTCACTACTCCACTCACCAGCTCACTCACTCACCAACTCACTCACTACTCCACTCACTCACCAACTCACTCACTACTCCACTCACTCACCATCTCACTCACTACCTCACTCACTACCTCACTCACTCACCAACCCACTCACCAACTCACTCACTACCTCACTCACCAGCTCACTCACTACTCCACTCACCAGCTCACTCACTACCTCACTCACTCACCAGCTCACTCACCAACCCACTCACTAACGCACTCACCAACTCACTCACCAACCCACTCACCAGCTCACTCACCAACCCACTCACTAACGCACTCACCACCTCACTCACCAACCCACTCACCAGCTCACTCACCAACCCACTCACTAACGCACTCACCACCTCACTCACCAACCCACTCACCACTCACTCACCAACCCACTCACCAACCCACTCACTAACGCACTCACCACCTCACTCACCAACCCACTCACCAGCTCACTCACCAACCCACTCACTAACGCACTCACCACCTCACTCACCAACCCACTCACCAGCTCACTCACCAGCTCACTCACCAGCTCACTCACTAACCCACTCACTCACTAACCCACTCACTCACTAACCCACTCACCACCTCACTCACCACCTCACCAACCCACTCACCAACCCACTCACCAGCTCACTAACCCACTCACTAACCACTCACCACCTCACTCACCACCCCACTCACCAACCCACTCACCAACCCACTCACAGCTCACTCACTAACCCACTCACTAACCCACTCACCACCCACTCACCAACCACTCACCAACCCATCACCAACCCACTCACCACCCCACTCACCACCCCACTCACCAACCCACTCACCAACTCACTCACTCACCAACCCACTCACCACCTCACTCACCACCGCACTCCCCAACCCACTCACCAGCCACTCACCAACCCCACTCACCAACCCACTCACCAGCTCACTCACTAACCCACTCACTCAGTAACCCACTCACTCACTAATCCACTCACCACCTCATCACAACCTCACTCACCACCTCACTCACCACCCCACTCACCAACCCACTCACCACCTCACTCACCAACCCACTCACTACCTCACTCACTATTTAATGTGCCGCTGCACTCTGATGTTGTAGGAGAAAACATTCATCAAAAAGTATATTTAATTAGGTAGAACGTGTTGTCTATATTTAATTAAAGTTGCGCATTTTGATGTGACGTCACGTTTCTCAAACACCCCTCTCGTCACACATCGTCACAAATGTCTGACCCCCCCTAGGTACGTGACGTCATTTATGGACGGCCCTAATCGCACCACAACCATCACGCTGCGTGTCGGTCACACCAATGCAAATACCCCCCCCCCCCCGGATATGTTGTGCTGTAAAAACTTTTAATTCACAGACCTTTGAGGCAAGTGTTGTTAGCGAGTAGCACCTATATACTGTGTATTACTTGTAAGAACCTCCTGGTTACACCAGCCCACAGTGGATTATTGTGTCCGTCTGTCGTGCAGGGAGAAGCTGGGTTGGGAGGGAGGGGCTGGGTGGGGAGGGTGGGGAGGGGCTGGTCACCCCGTGGAGCCCTTACCTACGTGACTTTACCGAAAAAAAACCTAAGAGTATGAATCCTTGCAGTCACGAAAGCTTCAAATCTAGAAGCCCTTATAAAACTCAACGTTTAACCTACTCGCACCGGCTTGTGCCCGCCCTCACGGTCGGGCATATTTGCGGAATACACCACGCCGCCGTTGACCCTGGCCATTGACCGAGCAACCCAACGTTCCTACCAGCCTCCTCCGCAGGAATGTGTTTAAAAAAAACACTTGTTTTTCGCAAATACATATATCGATGTGTCTGGCAATACACAACGGGTTAACCTGTCAACTAAGAAATGAAGGGAGCTGCCATAGAGCTGTGATGGTTAGCATACGGATATTGGGAGGTCGTCTGTTTGATTCTGTGAACCATTCTCATTCTTCCGGTTCACCCTTGGTGTAATGTGGTTCGGTGTGGTGCCGGGTGGTATGCAGTGTGGAGCGGTGTGGTATGGGGGTGGTGTGGTTCTGTGTGATTTTGTGTGTTTGGTGGTGGTGGTGTGGTGCAGGGATTGGCGTGGTGTAGTGCATTGTAGTGCTGTGTGGTACGCTGTGGATCTGTGCGGTGCAGGTTTGCTCCGTGTGGTGCCTTGCGGCGCCGTCTGCCTGCGCCGCGATGGCATGAAGGAGGCTAGGAGGCTGTTCCCACTGCTCAGCGTGGACAGCGTCGTGCGCCTCTTCGCGCTCGAGCTCGGCTCGGACGAGCCCGACCTCGCGCTCCTCTCCATCGTGCTGGGCTACGTCGAACACCAGCTCACGGTGGCTGTCGCGGCCCGTGCCACTGCCGCCGCAACAGCAACAGCCGCCGCCCCACCGCCGGGAGAGGCGGTCGAGGAGGAGAGGGGGGAGGAAGAGGCGGCGTGCTCATTCCCGCCCGTTCCCTGGCAGCCCGTGGAGGCGCTGCGGTGCCGCTTCGTGAGCCACGTGCTCGGCACCGTCGACCTGACGCAGTTCCGGCGTGGCGCGGGTGGCGGCACGGGCCGCGAGCTCGTGAACAAGGTGTCGGACGTGGTGTGGGGCACGCTGCACCGCTCCTACAACAAGGACCGTGCGCACATCCACTCGCTCTACAGCTACCTCACGGTAGGACGAAGGCAGCTGCTGTTTAGCCACAGAGTGCCGGTGACGTCGCAGCGGCGCTCACGCCAGGCTAGGTACACTTCACGTGAAGTGGCTAAGGCTCGCGAGGGAGGTAGAGTCAGCGGTATGGGGGCTGGGGTGTGCGTAGCCAACGTCACCCAAACCACAAAATGGGTTTGGGTGACGTTTGAGGAATGCGTTGATGGTTTCGGCAATGATGGTGACAAGCCTGGGGTGTTTCATTCAGACGCTGTCTTCCCGACAGACCTGTTCTTCACCTGAGGACGGCTGCTTGCGTTGTGGCCGAAACGTCGTGAGAATTATTTTATTATGTTTTAATTTTATTATTTCCCTTCTACGTGACTTTACTGAAAGAACCAAGAAGATGAATCCCTGCAGTCACGAAAGCTTTAAATCGAAATTTAAAGGTGACAAGTTTGTTGATGAAGTCGGTGCTGAAGGAGGCTGTGAGCTTCAGCGATGCTTGTGAAGCATTGTGATTGAGGCACCAGGCTGCTGCTGGGATGGAGGAGGTCTTTGAGGACTTTCCTGAGGTCGCGAGGGCATCCCGAGGCAGTTTGGATGTGAGTTTTGATACAGGAGGTGTGTGAATCAAGACCCAGCTTGTTGGCTATCTTGCAACGGGTCCAGTCGGTGGTGAGCCCACTGTGGGAGTAGGTTCGTTCCAATCGCCTCCTGAATCCCTCAGCGTGGATGTAATTAGCGGATAGCCAGCAGGAGTCATGCAATGATACGTGGGGTGGTTCGAGGTCTGAGAGTCCAGCCAGTTTTGGTCAACGCTGTCCTGAGATGAGAGTGGGAAATTCGATGCCTTTGAGAATGCGCAGGTAGTGGGTAGTTTTGATGACGAGAGGTCTGGGGGATTGTGGAGAAGTGACGATCAGGTGGTCGGTCAGAATAGCTGACTTGGAACGACCCGATCGGAGAGGGTCAACAGCCAAGATCAGATTAAATGAAGAGGTGCTCATGGTGATATTCGGATTGGGTCAGCGGTGGTAATTGCCACATTATGGCATGAGCAAAAGTTACCTCGAAGACAGCTGTCAATAGTTTGAGGTCAGGCCTGGGCAATTGAAGTCGTCTGTGAGCACCAACCGTTTGATCACGTTGGAGAGAAAAAAAAGTCTGAAAGTTCATTAAGGAAGCTGATCCTGCTTTCAGGAGAGTCGTAGATTAGGATGAGTGAAAAGCTGGTTGTTCTGGTGGCGAAGATGTTACCTACCTCGCCTGGTATACAGGAGGTCGTGAGTTCGATCCCGACTCTGACCTCCTTAGCTGACCATGCTATATTCGCACCCCCGATTAGCACGGTTGGCTACACACGGTGCGCATTAAGTTCAACATGCATAGTTGGAGCTTGCGTGTTCTCCCCGTGAAGGCGTAGATTTTTCTCCGGATCATCTGGTTTTTTCCCTCCACATTTATAAACAATAAACATGCGTTTAAGAGTATTTGGCTGCTATACATTTCCACGTGATAAGCCACTTCATTGAGCTATGGTTTGTGGCCAGCTCGCTTTTAATAATGCTATACGAATGAAGATGCTGTGTGGGTGATGGTGATGACATTGTGCATAATACATAACAATGATCCGGCAATGAGTGAATGCCTATACTGATGATTCGCCACCTCCCCTCACTTCCCCCCGCTGCCATGTGCCGGTGCAGGCTTTGAGAAGCCCGTGAACTTCTCGGGAGCGAAGCTCGATGCGTTCGGCGTCGCGTTCGCCGTGTCAGCCGCGTGCCAGACCAGCCAAGAGTGATTTCTCCTGATATCGCTTAACATAGACCGCATGAAGGTTTGCTAAGGCTGGCTCCTCCTCCAGAAAGACAATGTCCTAGGGTGTTCGCTACTATTGTTCCTACGAACTGAGAGCAATCCCCGCCCCAACGACTGCAGTCTTCCAGGGACCCACGCAGCTGTTGCACATTGCTCTGCCGGGGATGAATAGCGAGGAATGGGTCTACACTTCGTTCGTTACCAAGTCGTTCGCCTTTTGCTTCCAGAACCCTTCGGGGTACTATGAGCACAAGCCGTTTGGACCGGCGATTGGCCTGCCAGGTGGTTAAACCGGTAGAACCAGCACATTCTCCGCCACCAGAAGGGATTTATTGTACCAGGAGTTCTCCACATGTAACAAAGAGGTGATCTTCAATATCTCCGTAGGTCACCATACACAAGTGACGGCGTAAACACTATCAACAACATATGGATCGACCTGTTGAGCCCGTTCACTCTCTGCACCCTGGGCGGACGCATTGGCATCACGTCTATGCCAGGATCGATCCTGAAGTCACCTAGGGGGACGCAACCCTCGTGTATTGTACAAACCTCGTCGTCTTGCTGTAGCCGGGCTACAATGATACATGTCCAGTAGGCTTAGCAGGGTCTTGAATATCCTCAATCACCTACACGGTCGTTCGTATTCCGGCAGCAGAGAATTTTTCCCACACACCTGAATTCTGTTGCTAGTACTAGTAACTCCGCGTCGGGCTGACTTTATTTGTGTGGTGGATAAAAGCTATGAGCTAGCTTACTACCCTCCGCCATGGTGGGGCATATATTTAATTCACCAAGATCCGTATTCGCAGGGAGGGGCGGATGAACTTATTTACCCCATCAGATAGTGACTACGAAAAACGCGTCAAGGCTGCTAGGCGTCGCCCTTCCTGACGTTGATGCCTACTATAGCGCGGGAGGCAGTGCTTTAATGCGTTACGTTACTACCTTGGGTATTAACCCCAGTTCCAACTAATGTGCGTCGATCGGACAAAGAACAGAACAGTAACCAAATGGTTGAGCGTGCACACCGTTCATGCCTTACCAAGGATCGAGATTCGTAGGAGAGGGAGGTGATTGCGTTTAACTTGCTCTGCATAGTATCTCAACAGGAGAGCATGCGAAAACCACTACTTTGAAAATTAAAACAGCCCCCATTGTGGAGTTATAACCATAACTCAGCATGCTGTTATGTCTGGCGACTCCACGTGGATAAAGATAGTGTTTCACTTGAGTAGAGGTGGGGTCATAGAGTCACGGCATAGTCGTTCGAGACGATTAAATTCGCGGTCGTCATGGCGTCCCCCATCCTCCACCCGAATTTTAACGACCGACTTGTCAAAGACACCTCCAATCGACGCTCCAAGCTGCCACAAGGACCTGCAGGCAGGAGGCGCTCGTCGACTATTCGCGATCGATAGACCCATTAATGATGGATCGGCGAATATTGTTAGTGCTAATTACAGTACCCGATCGCGAACGTATCATCGCAGTAACCCTCGGCATTACGGCGTCCTATCTGTCTCCTAAGGTAATTCGCACTGGGGGCGATGAGGAGTATCGATACAAGCAACTGACACTTCGTTCGCTCCCGCGCTCTAGACGAGCATATTTGTCGGAAGTCTTCCATGATCATGCCAAGTAAGTCCATTCACTGGTCCGCTTGTTGCGACCGCCCTTACCGACAAACCGCTGCGCATAGGGGAAGATTATTCCAAGGCTTTCTTAAACTTGATCATTCGATCTGCGAATGGACAATTAGAGTTTTTGCGAGCTTTCTACCCGCTTAACGACAAGACAGTTGTCACCATGTACGGCTTCGAGGGGCAGTGGTACCTGGGAAGGGCCCTCATGGGGCGGCCAATTAAGGTATATTACTATGCGTGTTTAGCGAGTGATATTAAGTAGGATGCTTGGTGAATAAGGTAATCCTCCGCAGGCTTAAAAGATTCGCATCCGATACCTTACCGCGTCAACCTTGCGTAGGAGAAGATTATAATTATACTCCACTTTTAACACGCTACGTGATAATGATTAAACGAGATCCCGTTGCGTATTGTGTACCCAATATCCGCGATTCACTCGCACAATATCCAGTGAAATCAATGATAATAAACCGTATACCGATACTCTAGATAAAGCGTTAGTACGGATTCTGCCGAATGTACTACTCTTCGAGTCTTCTTTCGATACCTTGAAAGACATAAGGTAGCCCAAAAGGTCGCCCTGTCGCACCTAAGCAATCACGATGTGGTATACTCGGACCACCTGAAAGCTATCAGGATCCGTCAAAGGGTTCGGCAAGACCGGACATGGGTGGCGGGGCTACTGTATATCGCATGCCTCGGATGCTGCGGAATGTGAATTTCGTGCCCAGAGAAAACGGGCAGTGACGTAGGGTGCACAGAGAACTATTGCATACCGCTGAACCGTTTTATATTTGGTAAATCTTTCTGTTATAGCTTAACAGTTATACTCGTCGCCGCAGCCGCTATATCGTACAAATTTACCCTATCAGTCGGCAATCCTAGCCGCGATCTACGACTTAGGCTTGCAGAGGAAGTCCGGGATAGTAGGGACTGTATGGATGTAGCGTTGGATCCGCAAAATTTGAGGCGTCGAAATAAATGCACCGCTCAGCGTCGTGCCACTCGAGTAAAAGGTAGTCTTTTTAATCATCGTAGTGATGCACACTCTTATGCTCACTGCGGCTTCGGCGCAGCCCATGGTTACTTATTGCCCGGGTCGTCGGATAACAGAAATACGATATTGAACCACCTCATGATCTACAAGCGCGGCCATAAGATCAACCCAGTAAGTCGGATAAACCCCTTGGATTGCCCGATGAACACATACGGAATTGGCATGGCCCAGCGCAACGCCCCTCGGCGCACTTCGTAATCAAAGATGACTCCAGACCTAATATACGCGCGAGCGAGGTACAGGTGGTCGGCGCGCGTGAACTTTCGTGGCTAGCGCTTTATCACATATGCAGTACAATTGAGTGAATATAAAGACAACAATGGAGGTGCTCGGGCGGTCGAATTACCCGAGTTTGAGCCTCATCTAGTTTGACTATCCCCCTCCAGGTAGGGGGAGCCCTGAGAGTTTTCATAGCTGGCGTCATGAGTGTGTTATTTACTCACGGCACGATTTGAAGCCGCCTGTCCATAGTCATGTGTATTCAAAGATGAGATCAATCCTTAGAGCGCACTTGGGCGTAGTATATGGGCCTCCTAAAAGATCTAGTCCTTCTTTAGCCAAAGTTGAAGGATCTTAGTCGACGAGCGTATATTTACGTGACACCGGCTATAACGCATGCTAGTTATCGAGACCCTGGGTGGGTCGTAAATCGAGGGGTGGAATAAAACTATCTGACCGCTCCGTTAGATTACGCCGCAGAGTAGCATCAGCGGAGAGTTCATCTACCTTCGTTCGGCCACTTCATGAACGGATCAGGACAGCGTGGACATTACATGCCATGCTTGCATAGTGCAAGAGGCTCCTCCCACCTCGAACGCTTCAGTGCGTCAAACAACTTCTGCTGACTTGCTTCACTCCGCTAACGGCCCCAGGTTTTCACGCACACGTTTACGTGCTCCGTCCCCCGCATGCCCTCGACTACCTAATCATTGATGCAGTGCAATAAGTTCGCGATGGCACCTCCAGAGAACGTTAGTAGTTCATCAGTTTCGGTCGCCCCGCTGCTTGACACGAACTGAGCAACACACGGTCTAGCGATTGCCTGTTACTGCAGATAAGACGATGTATGTCGATTCATAGTGTTTGTGGATGGCCCGCGCCATTCACGGCGCGACGGCCTAACTGGACATATGAGACATCTGGAGACCCATGTCTAATGGGCTTGCTTTAACAAACAGTATGATTAGACTTCATCCCGGTGGACAAGATCGCCAATAAAGGATCTTCACTAGTGTTTTCCTTCATACGGCTGTAATCGAGGGCTCCAATTTTCTGCTTGGTCGCTCAGTAAAGAGCGTCGGGAGATTGCCACTGAAGGTTTACAGCGATTAGTGTAAAGAGCAGGGTATCCTCCTCCTCGAGTCGGATAGTGCACCGCTTCAGATACGTTCCCATCTGTTCCCGAGGCACCGCTGTGGGTGAGGCTTTCTAGAGGTCCTCCAGGATGGTAGGAACGATTAGCTCTACATAAGCCCGCACAATTCTGTCCTCTCTATACTCCACCACTACACGTTTCCTCCGCGACACGTTCCCGAACTACCCTATCAAAGGAGAAGATCGCCGGTCAAAATAACGCACTTAACCACGTAGCTATTGAATGTCAGGGTGGGCAAATTCCTCCTGCCAGATCGGGAACTAGACGAGCCAATGTCACGGGAGGTGGGGATCGAGACCGGAACTAGGTGCATCTAACCTTTCATACTTCGGTGAAGTACGTATACCATGAGTTCACTATTTTGCGTTGCGGTCGCTGATGTCCCTTGTCAGCTTGTGGAACTTACTTAGATGGCGCTCCAATTCGAGTGCCATCAGAGGGCGATTCTGCCAATGAGACTGTTGTATATTGTTCTTTGCATTCCATATGGTCGTTGTACGGTTAGGCAGTTGCGGAGCCCAAGTGCTCCCTCCATTTCTGTGGTAGTGCCGGGCCGGGCATGGTTCTAGCTCAGATTGAATATATAGTATTACTTATAACACAGAGAACTCTCTAAGATTTGAGCGGATACACGCCGCGGATGTAGCAACCAGTCCCCAAACGCCCTGCCTAGAGTCACCTGCGTTCTACCAGCGCTGCTCGTAGGATGCCAAGAGTATCAACGCCAATTAGAAAATGCGGCTCCCTCTCCGTCCTTCCAGGAACCGGCCTACCCCACGTGGCGAATTGGTGGTGGAATCGCTGTACGGAGGGCGTGGTTAACGTAGGTATAATTACCTCATGTGCCAGAGCAAGGCCAAACAATCCAGTGCGCTACCCTTCCATAAAGATGATAGAGTTGCCCT